CTTTGTATTTGCGCAATTCCCCATTGCATACACAAAATGTCCGTCTATCAGAAAATAAAGAGATTTAACCGATTGCTCACCTACGACTGCTGGTAGCCGTGTTTGGTTGAATTACTGTTGCCCAGTGCACTTTATGTAGGTTCACTTTGATGGGAACAAAATATTGTTGAAGTTGAGATTTGGTAAATGCTGGACAGACTTTTGATAGGTTTTAATAAAGAAATAGAAAAGTAGATATAAATCCTAAATATTCCCACTGTACTGGCAGGGGGTAAACTTATATCAAAGGACCAGATAATTTTTCTGCTTTTCTCTAAACAACGTAAACAATGGGCATACACGTTTTCTCACCCAAGGGCAAAACTAACTCTTCACTTTCATTACCAACACCAAGGCGTGCACTTGACAATCATATCCTGTTAACATTGACGTATTATTTCCAAAAAGTCGGCAAATTTGCTTAGTTAGAAACCTTTTACTTCTTACTACAAGTAGAGTAGAGATGGAGAGTGAATCACAATCTCGGTACACTGAGATTCTTCGACGCATGGAGGATGGGAAGAATCATGTCATTCTCCGGCCCTCACACATTATTTACCGAAAACTGGCCAGCCAGATATTTGCAATCTCCACAGGAGGTGGACTACCCTCCTTTCTAACCGAGTACTTTGCTCAACTGGTCGAGAAGCAGTTCATCATCATGTGCTCTGAGGTTCTTCACGAGGTTTGCAGTGGTCGCACTGTAATTGAGTCTCTCTCACTCAATATGAATTTATTTCTTCAAGCCTTTGTGGACAGCTGCTTTCACATTAAACGCATTGTCCTCAACCGGTTGAGCGAAGCCGAGGTGACGCGAATTCTCATTAGTATCGTCAAGGGAGAGGCGGATGAGGTGTATCGACTTGAGGGTTTACTGGAGCCTAACCTAGCACGCTTTCTTATCAATGTTTTGCGCACCCTATATGGCAAGGTAGTGAGAGGAATCCTCATATACGCACTGGTTTCAAGTAGCTCAGAAGAGTTGGACTCCCTCCTTCAGGAGAGTCTAAACCTTAACGAGGAATTACTGGCGAAGCCTCTCATTGAAGCCTTGGTCACACTGACCGATCTCGTCTTCCTTCTGGCAGAAGATTTGCATGTCAACGAAAACATTGACAGCATGCAGGGTGTTTTGAGACAGAATAGGTTCTACATTGATGCAGGCTGCAAGGGCATCATCAGTATTCCGTCGGCTCCCACCAATTCCGGCCGACGGGCACGTCAAGCGAGGAGCATTTATATGCCCATCAAGACTCGTAAGTCCTCAGTCTCAGCATCTTCGAGAAGTTCGGCTGACTCCGTTACAGGAAAAGGCCAACGCAGCTTGCCTGCACTAACGCCCAAGCCTGGCAGGAAACGCTCGATTCGTGACTACCGTTTTATGTCGACCCATGGTTTGCGCGTGCGTGCTACGCGTGGCGACTCCGAGGAGAGCTTAAGGCAGGATTTTTTGGATCACGAGCCAGATTTCTTCTCGGCACAGAGAGGTGCCATTAACATGGACATAAAGCCGGATTCTGAGTCGGAGGTAGACTCTGATGACAGTTTTGTGTTCTCTCCCTTAATTGGTGCCTTCAACCGTGGCAAGTATAAGGTTACTGAGAGGGAGTCGCCAATCGATTCGTTAACAAAGCAGATCAAGAAGGATAACGGTGAAGCACCGATGAGAATGATTATTGAACTAGAGCAAATGGAGTTAGTGGAGGATAGTTGGAGGGCCTTGGTTGAACTTCAGGGTGAGTGAAGTGTCTTAATTCTTCCAAATTTCCAGTTTGCCTATAGTATTGTCGTGTAGTGACTGTAGCTCTATATTACCAAAACAAATAGTTTTGTGGTAATCTGAACAATACCACAAGCATAAAACGCCTTTATTATGCCATTGGTTCTGTAAGCATCTTTTTTATGAAAACTAAGGAGTAAGTGGTGAGTAAGTTTGCCTACTTGCAAAGTAGTTATTATATCTTTCCAACTCCCTTGTATTCAACCATTTGTCAAATGTCAAACAACCTCGTATCTCTAAGAGTTTTGGTGCTGCTCAAAGTTTCCCTTACACCCAACGGCCATGTGAAAAATCTTCCACTGAAACGACCTCTGGCAACTCGTTGTCATGGTACTGCTTGAACGGCTTCATCTTTCAGCTTTATAGCAGGCAAAAATTAGAGTTTAGATTGGAAGTAACAGCGAAATATCTTATTCAAACAGTTCTTCATGGTCAGAAAAACTGCTTTACTTGCAATAGGCTAAAAATACTGATGCATTTCCTTTCTTTCTTCTATCTAACCTGTATGTTTGTTCCATTTAGGCATACAAAAAGTAATGGGTTCAAAGGATTGGGTGAGTGAAAGTAAATGCAACGGAATGCAGCTCATGCCGAAGGAAGGTCAGTTAGTTGTTTGTCCCTTTGTAGGATGACAAGACAGTCACTGCTCTGTCCAAAGATCTCTACTCTGCTGTAAGTCGTCCACTGAGATGTGGGTTTTGCGAGCTCATACTCGGCTACGTCGATCATTAAGTGATAAATAAGGCCTTTAAGGCAAGTTAGTAATTTTAACCGCTTGGAAGGTAAAAGCCAACTTAATGACGCCTTGGCCTAAGTCTATTCACACTGGCAACTTATCAGATGACAACCTACTGATGTGATCCAAGTTCACCACGAATGCGATGGCAGCAATTTTGATGTTTAACACAATAATTCTACTAGCTAATGAAGTTGACCTCAAGGCTGGGGGCAATGCTTGGAGTGCAGAGATTAGAAATAGTCGAGAAGTCGTTTAGTGCAGCGTCCCATAAAGGCGTTCAAGATGGAGCAGATCTGACCAAAATTCTGTGGCAAGAACTGTCGGCTCTTAAGTCTTCTGGGTGCGTGCTTTCATTCTCAACCATTTATTAACATTCTCGGATGTTATACTAAATTATAGCTTACAGTGAAGCTTTTAATCAGTTCATGCTCCTAATCATAAGGTAAAAGATTTTACCATTTATTCTTTATACATCAGTCAGTGACATCAGGATATGCATTCCTTGATTTTTGGAACAAACCAACATGCTTATTGCCCATCGAGGCAAGAACTCGCAATAATGGATGTGTGGTTGATTCTTCATTCAAAGCAAATCTAAAAAAGGTCACAGTGTTTATTTGAAACCAAAAAGTCGGGAATTTATGTGTAATTGACCCACTAACAGAATGCATTTCTTACAAAATCAACAACTGATAACAGGAATATGTAAGTGGGCCAGTGGGTATGCTTCAGGATCTTTTAAAATTTCACAAACAGGCAAACACTTGGTTTGTATCGAATACAAGGTTTTTATGCTCTCTTAAGGATACAACCTTCTTTAGACACTGCTTTTTACCAGGTCTAGAATGATGAAGACAAACAGATGGAATAAGTAGAATCACTGCACAGACTTCATTGTAAACTATTTTAATTATTCCGCAGAGTTGTAAACTCAGCTGAAGAGACCTATAGAAAGTTCAAAGAGTACCTCAGTTACTTGCGAGGTGAGCTCTCCAACGAGATGCAATTCCTTAATGAAATTGATGCTGAGGCCCTCCACTATGGAATGAAAGATCTCACTCTGCTTGGGACTGATGATCCAGAAAATGTAAGCAAAACACTTTGGTTGCGGAATACCATTGTTTTGCGACACTAGTTTCTTCGGCTATTATGCCACTGTGCCCTTAGTGAATGATTTTCGGCGTAAAAGTGAGTGACATCCACTTATTTGGAAGGATTCGCTTCCTCACTGTATTACAAATATCGATGTTGTGTTTGCACTGAGAATGTCTGTCTTTAAAATGCAAAAATTAATGCTTTCTTGGTATGTTTCCGGGGTTTCTTCGAAATTTCACAATGGTAGCACTATTTCTGTTGCACAGTAAATGACGGCGACCGAACACGCCTGTTGTAAGCACGCATGAAGGGTAATGGCAACTTCATTAACAGCTGCAAGACTAATAACTCCTACAGTTGCCGTGATGCACAGATTATAACAATAGTCAAATTTTGAAACCCATGTCAACTTAAGTATGCTTATTTTCAGAAGCAAGCTGCAAGAATCAACGAGTCGGCGTCAAAAGGAAACGTAAGTTTTTCTTTGGTGTTCCTGAACTACTATCTTGACCTGACATCACTCATTCCAAATTACTCATCTTAGAGAGGGTTGCAAAAGGTATGCTATCATATGAGAAGGCTTATAAAATCATCCTCCAATTCAGATTCACCATCAGACTTGGACAAATGAACAAAGTATTGTGAGTTAAACAGCCTCTGAAACACGATTTTTCATCATTCATTTATAAGTTAACTTAAACATTTTTTTGCTACTCAGATGGACCACAGTCTCCGCGAAACCTTCGCCGTATGTGCCTTTTACTGCAGTAACATTTGAATGCCCCCAAATGGCGGAAAAACTTATGATTATCTATTTTCTTCCTAGGCGCTTGTACCCATCAGACACTCGGTAGGTCCTTCAAGACTATCCGCAATTTCACTATAATCAAATAGCCGCCTTTTGGGCACTCTGAAATTCTTCCTTACTTTTGACTTAAATATTTGCACACTTTCCGACGAAATACTGCTTCTTAAAATTTGTCGCGAGATTTTCCAGTTTTAAGGAGTAAAAATAGCAGTTATTTCATTATCCAGCCCATAAGTTGACAAATATCAAGTCAAAAGTGAGATAAACGGCTACTTTTATGAGGTAAAGAAGAAAAGGGATTCTCCTTTGCACCGCGTCCAGTCAGATTACTAAAAATTCCTGTCAAATGAATTACCAGGGCAACTGCAGTTTTAACTCAGGTCCTCATTTATTTTCACATGATTCAGTATGTCAAAGTAAAAGAATCGGAACTTGATCGGGCCTTGGATTTGTGTACAGAGTTTCCTCTTCATAGTTGATGTTCCTTTTCCACTGTTTTGTCTAATAACCAGCAACTCATCCGATGTTTAAAAAGAGTAAATCTTCCACTGGACCAGTTAATAATAGGCTTTTATTGCCCAGTGGAAATAACCCTGAAGAATCTCAATAAATGAAAGGTATACCTTTATTTTCGAGACTCGATTGAGTGGGTGGAAAGCAGTGAATACTTGTCGCGGAGATAGCAATTTCTGGTGTACCTCTGATGCCAATTTGTTGTCCTTAATAATGCTAGTTAATCTTCCCTTTTCTTCTAGTCAGATGAATCATCAAGCAAAGGGGTTAGTGCAGTTTGGAGCTGTTTTGGAGAGCCTGCTTGACAATGTTACTGTGATTTACATCTATCTTTAGAAGAAACCTACTCATATTGTGCCAAGCTTGCAGACAATGCTCAGTAGGAAGGAAATAATGGTGCGTCAGATTACTGGATGGTTTACACTGTTCTTATGTGTTCAATTTGATCTCCAAGGATACTGTTTTTGCCTTTGACTTTCTACTCAAATAAAGTACTTTTGGTCGCCCTCGATAAACAGTTTGAAAAGAAATGTAATGCATCCGGTATAGGAAAAGTGAAATAGCTGATACAAATCAACATTCAATTATACAATAGTTTGACATGAAAGTCTTGAAACTATTTCGGCCTCGCGTTTGAAAATCAACAATCATACTTTTAAGCAATTATAGCAAAACGACCAACCCTGAAGTAGAATAACAACATGAAATCGCATAAAGTTTAGGCTAACGGCGCTAGCAATGCTGGCAGAAGTATGGATAAGGAGGTCAAGAGACTTGAGTCTGAAGGAGTCTATGGAGTGGAAGTAAAAATAATTCTAATTCAAATTTAAAAGCACAGTCTTAATATCGTAAAAACCAATATACTGATAGGATAATATTTGTAGCTGTCCTTAGGAACATCATTTGATCCTACTATCGAGAATTTCCTTGGAATCCGATTCATTAAAAGAAATCATTAGCCAATGTATCTGAGATGCTTAGGCACTAATCTGTGTTTATCCTGTCCTCTAGATTATATCTTCCACACAACCCGAACAAGCCACGGTTCATTCAGCAAAATCCGTACGTTTATACCAAATATTTTACAAATACTACTTGATTACCTATTCTTTCCTTCCCGTATTGTGACTCAACAGAGTGTATTTGAATTCTTCTTAAAATTCTCCTATAAAAATTTAGGGGAAAACCTCCTCGGGAGAAAAGAAGGATGCACGGAAATCTTCAATGGATCTTTCAGTGCAGGGCAAAGGCTATCCTGCGCAAACACTTCTCGAGCCCAGCGTCCTCAATATCCCAAAAAAATCTGCAACCTTAGATCGCCCACCTTCTCCCTCCTCATCGTCTCAGAAGGTGGACAATGAGTTGGACAGCATAAATGTATGCTTCCTCAGTTGTGCACTTTGAGGTCTTTCCAAGTTCTTCTGCCCTATTTTTTTGGCGTAGCATTTCGGGTCATCCTATAAAACACTCCTCAAACTAGGGATGTGCCCTTTTGTACCATTTGAGCTAGTCTTAAGTGAGTTGATGGGCAAAGGTAAAATAAGAGAAGCTTTCTCACTAGCAAGCCTAAATGGAGGAACATCAAGCCTTCTGATTTTGCTTACTATTTTATTATTTATATAGCGTAAAAATAAATCAAAAGTGCAATGGTAAATGCGCAAAGGAATTTACTTTATGCAGACTGTTGCTTTCAATTTAAAAGGTTGAAAAACACGCGGATGGAATATTTAAGGGGGCATTCCTTCCCAAAAGAAAGTCAGTCCATTACGTGTTGTATGAGGCAAAGAAGGATGAATTGGCAAAATACCTACAAACAAGGCATGGCTACAACAAGGAGTCCTCTGAGAAAATTGCTAACCACCTATTCAAAGCAGGGATCACAGGTGTATCACACAATCGCCTCTCCCACCTTCTCACAAAGCTTCTTCGGGAGAAGACCGCAAGTAAGGAAACTGTGAGTTCTGACGAAATCAGTGACAGCATACATCGCAATCTGGTCCAGAGATTAGACGAACTCATAGACTGGGTGGAGCTGCTTGATTCAGTGCCCGATATCAGTGCTGGGTCGGAGTCGACCACCAGTCCATCCTCACAAGTGTCAACCAAGTCCTACGCATCTGTGTGGTCAGTATCTGCTAGTGCTGAGCGTAAAACCAAAACGACATTACCACCACTAAAACCAGAGATTAAACCATCAGTGGAATCAATCAAATCAAAGGCATCCGCACTGCTGACGATGACGAAGAAGGCATCCACCACACCGACTTCACTGAGTAGTTCGGACCTAACAACGAGTGAAATCAGTAAGAGGAGCTCACCCCTAGTGGATGTAGTAGCCAAAACAGATTCATCGGAAAGTGTACCGCGCGAAATACGATTGCTTACTGTCCCTAGTCCACGATTAGGTGAGACGCCTCTATCGAAGACTACAACCAGTCCGTACGGCACATGGGCCTATACCGCGTCGACAGAGACGCCCAGCAGTGAGTTTACCGATCGAGTTCTTACTGAAGAGAACGCGGACCTTGAGCCTAGACGCCCCACCAAGGCAGTTTTACGTGACAGTGCTGCCATCGTGAGTCCTTTTGAGGTGGCGGAGCATATCGCCAACGTTTTAGAGGCCGTAATGGATACGGGAGAGGAGTCAAATGCCTTGATTCGTGGCACGTTGAATGTGCTTGCTGAAAGTTCACCTCATCTTGATTACCTTGATAAGTTGGTGAACAAGTACCACCAGGAAATGTCCATCTTTTGGAACGACAGTAACAAAGGCGTAAAGCTTATGAATGTCTTCAAAGATTTGATCTTCGATACAGCCTCCATGATGTTGAGACACCTGGATACAGAGAAGACTGCACGTCTTCTCCGTCAGACCAAGAAAACAGCTTCAGCAATGTTCTTAAAGCTGTCTCAAATTGGAACCATAATACTATCAGAGAATGATGTACAGCGAATGTTTGGAGGCATGTCAGTACTGAATTCAAGCACTATCTTGGAGGGTGATTTGTTCAAGCACAGGAAGACACCAGGCCCGTCTCTACCCGGCAATGCTCAGCGGTGGTTCAAGCCCCTTGATCTGATTCGCATTTTTCGCCCACCTTTCACTGTTCAATCCAAGCTTGATTCAAGTAGAGATGACGGTAATCGTTTGCCAGAAGTTCGACGAATTGCAGGGAAGGAAACGTCAGTGAGGAGTGGCACTTCAGCCATCCTTATTGCAGACGTAAGCAAGTTCAGACCAGTTTGTCCAATTAGTAATTGAGTGCTTGCAGTTGCATTTTGGGAGGTCAAGACTTTTATTCCAAAGAGGCTTTTATAATATTAATAAACTCCTTTCTCCTTTACCTGTGCCGACATAATAGCGGACCCGCATAAAAGCTACCATTTCAGTGGTAGGCTCATATTTGACTGTCCCTTGAATCAAACCTTTAAAAGGGATTTCTTGTCTCCTGCAAATATTGGTGGTGTATTGCTTAACAATTACAGACCGCTCTGTTGTCTCTTCCGCCTAAACTTATCGAAGCTGCACAACGAATTCCCATGAAAAGGCGTTTTACCCTCATGTAAGCTGTTGTTTTATTATTTTGTTTTACTATTATTTATTATTTTTACGCACCAGTGAACCAATTTCTTGTAGTATTGTTCTTATTGGTAAGTTAATATGCCACTAAGTGGAACATTCCATCTGCTGATTAGGATAGACAAATTATCAAATTCACTCTTTCAATATACCTCTTAATGAAGGAATAGTAAATCCAATGTAAATTTTTGAGGTATTCATCACTAAATCTGCTGGAATTTTCCTACACTTATGTTCTATCACGAATCCAATACCAGTGACAGAGTGGAGTCTTTTAAGACATAAGTTAAAATACACCGTTATATAATAGCAACGAAGACAAATGTTTCTTTTCATCCATCTATCCATTTTACTCAGTTTCAACGTGTAGTCTTTACAGAATCCTTATTGGGACTTTGGCTAGTGAAGAACTGGGCCTTCGGTTTGAGGCAATTGCGAATTCATTAGGCTGTTCGTCTATCAGTTTGAAACCATACACCTATCAATTGCCTGTTGGTGTGTTTGTCTAAATCATTACAAAAGCCATCGTTGTTTGAACATTAAGCAGGATATAACCTACTTACTTTTCGTCCGATGCAGATTGGCTGGATATTCATTCAGCAAACGATGCACCAAAACGAGATTTGGTTCCTTTTAGCTTCAAGTTAGCAGGCAGTAGTTAAAAATGAACCCCATTGGCGAAATTTTTGGTTTACTGTACGCCTTTTCGATGATTCCACTTAGTAAGATGTTTGAGCCCAACCAGAGTGAGTAAAGAGGTCATCCATGATGTGGTCATGTTCATCCCCAAGAAAGTATTCGAGTTAGGAGAGAACTGTACGGGATTTTGCGTGAGTACTTGACTTTTTTGGGTTCAGTTCAGATGCCGCACAACTTTGGCCAGATGCGTAAATGAATGCTGCTGATCACTAAAAATAGTATTATGTTTAACAGGTTGTGCGTTGAGGGAAAACTGCAGTGAGTTTTCCCATTATCATAAGATTTTGTTGGATGAAAAACAAATTTTCAAATACTTAATCAATCTGCTTCCCAAATAGCACATCTTCCAATCGTCTTTGAAACCCGACTAAATACTCAAACAGTGCTCCGATTTTTACAAAATTCTGCACCACTGTAGGCTAAATCGTAAAATGTCTTTCTGAAGCCCATGCTGCAATTTACCCGAGAATAAAGGAGCATTTCTACTTACTCGCCTGTTTTTCCGCCAGTTGTAAACATGCTAAATTGGAACTCAAACTGAGTTCATGGTATGTCAAAAGCTGTCAGCTATTTCGCTTGATTTTTCTCGATCACTAGGATTTCTGAAATGCATTTGCATAGCTAATGGTGTGTAGCAAAGAACTTCTCATTCTTTTGAGTTTTTGATTATTTGTCTTTGACAGAACCGTCAATTTAAGCACACTTTATTCAGTTAGAAGCACATCGAAGTTTATAAATCCCTACCTGTCTACTTAATGCATAGGCCAGTGTGAATCGAAATTCACTTTTCTGTCTGTACGGCCCTAAAACAAAGGTTTCACTGCATGCTACCTATGCTGACGAGTGCAGGTCCTTGAGGTTAGAATGAGGTTATCGACTGATCAACTCACAAACAGCTTCTAAGGGGTTTCAAAATATGCAAATAGTTTTTTCCCAAATCCATAAATTGTAATGCGTTCTATTACCAATAATCCAAAAATCAGGCAGACTGACAGGTCAGCGGATGTAAAGGCATGTGGTAGCAGCCGGGATGGATGGACAAATGGAAGGATGGGAAAGTTTGCAAAACTAACTTAATCATTCCATGTTCTTTGTGTATCTTTAGCTGAAGTAATTAATAAAATAATTAATTAATATTTTTGCAGTCTTGACGCTTTGGACGCTAGACTGCAGAGTCGCATTCGCGCGATAATGCGAGATCCTTCGATGAAGAGCAAACGCGACATTATGAAGCTCATGTCCACCATGCTGCAACAATCTGAGAAGGTCAAATTTCGTGTTAATAGACGACTGAATGCTCTCGGTCTTCCGAGAAACCCAGAAGGTCAAAACCTACCGTAAGTCTCCAAGCCCTGTAGATTGTGAGCCTCGCCTATAGGTCAAAAGTCAATGCACTGAACTATGGAATACAGCACCCCTTCCTACTGTTCTATTATCAGTCCCCTAGCAAACCATGCTGTTCAGGAAGTTTTCCTTAAACTTTTCGTTAGAATAAGCATTCAATACTTAATGGACAGGGTAAAACCAATTATCTCAGACAGCGAAACATTAAATTTATTTTACGCCTGGAAGTGTATATGCGCACGAAAATAGCATATAAACTCCATTTTCGTTGCTAAGTTGTGTCTAATAACAACTTGTACTTCCACTTTCCTTTTAATACTTTTAAAGGACCTTGCAGGAAGTACAAACAAATTTCCTTAAATCGTGCTTAGTACATTCAAATTTTCCATACTTCGTTGTGACGTATTTCCCCCCAGCTGGCTTAGTGGATATGGGAAAAGAACCAAATGTTGAAGAGGCAGTTCATGGT